CCCCTAAGCCTGGGACTGGAAGCACTCCTCCCCGGCTGCACCATACTCCCCCCGCTGGGACCGGAGCCAATAACCTTCCTGCTGCAACCGGAATGCAATGGGCCGACACTCCCAAAAACCTAATGCTGTGGCTGACGGCAGAGACATAGGGGACATGCTGAGACAGCCTGCACAGACTAAGTTGACTCCTGCTGGGGACCGGAATGAGGAGAACCGGGCGCAGGACGGACTGGGAGCTACAACACCCACCTAGGCAAGTCTAATGCACACAATTGACAACCCAGATGGGACTGCACCCACAACAAAGCAGGATTTAAAACTCCTGCTTAATGACATCCAGCAAGTCTGGACAGCCGACCTCAGGGCACTGAGAACTGACATACAAGCCATAAATGACAGAGTACAAACCTCTGAAAAGGACATACTAGCTGCCAAAACTGACATCTCAGCCCTTAAAGAGAGAGTACAACACTTGCAAAACATCCAAGTCACACTGACATACCAAATCTCAGCCCTGGAGGACAAACCGGACAGGAACCTCATAAAAATCCGTGGCATCCCTGCTGCAGTGACCGCAGAGAAACTCATTATGCACGCAGCCTAATTGCATCCATACTGCCCCACACAACAGCCAAAAAGATGGTTGTGGACGGAGTGTTTCATGTCATGGGCACACCTAAAACACCAACTGGAGTAGCACGAGACATAATTCTCCGCTGCGTAACCTCACAAAATAGGAACCAGATCATGATGACACTGAGGAATAAAACACCTCTGGCTCCACATTAACATTTTATCAAGACCAACAAAAATACCCTACTCTGGCGGAAATCACTGAATAAAGTTACCTCTCAACTAAGATCTGGAGCCATACCCTACCGCTGGGGAACCCCAGGGACTCTTGTGGTAACCCGCAATGGAACTACTCACTTACGTCAACAGAGGGGGCACTGGCCTTCCTCCAAGCACTGGGACTAACAGACAGTCATCAGGACCCACAGCCAACCACCCCCGGGAGTACATGGGACCCTGCTTCCGTTGCCACCTTTGTCCCGAGAGCCGGAGGCTCACAAGCAACTGATACCTGACAAATACTGAGGACTGGGCCAATACGCATGGCCACAGCACTTGAACAAACACAAATGGGGTAAAACTCAGCACGAGCCATTATACCTGTTTTGATTAGGGGCAACACATCAAAAGGAGGACACAAATCTCCCCCCAGACGTCCTGGCAGAGCACCAAATGACACCCAGCCACATACTCCAACATCTCAGCCACTGAGCAAATGACATTCCTACAGAACACCACAGGAGATGCCACTGCAGCCCTCCACACAGAACCCCAACTGACACTCCCTCACATCACAAGGGCACACCTGAGAGTCTATCTCCTAGAGACACCACTAACTCAAAACTCCTCTCGGAAGCACTCACAAAAAAAAATTATCTTTCGTTATCATACATACAAAAAAAATGTTGACAAGCCTGTTTTATATATCTTTCAATATTACTATTGTTATGAAAAAGAAAAAAAAAGTCCAGCACACCATGACTATGCTAAGCAAAACATTGTCAATCTCTCTGTAAAGCCATGTAATGTTGCCGAAACGTATACTTAACTCTGCACTCAAAAATAAAGAATTATAAAAAAATTAACAATTATGAATGCTAACTTTGGCCAGTGTTTTGGCTACTAAAAAAGACTGAACATACCCCATTTGCAATACCATGGGTTGTCTTCATTTGCAAATGGTATGCCATCATGGGGGGGGATTCTCATTCGTGGGCTACAATACGCTCTCAAAGGCAACATAACCAACCTGGCAATTTGCAATGTAAAAAGAAAATGACACATTTGACCCTGTAACGTTCAAAAACACTATAAAACCTGTACATGGTGGGTACTGTTATACTCTGGAGACTTTGTTGAACACAAATATTAGTGTTTCAAAACCGTGAAACATATCACAACAATTAGGTCCCTCAAAGCAGGTCCCTCAAATCAATAAAATGACTTAATTATGTAAAAATATTACATAAATACGCATGTAGAATTTATATTTATATATATATAATATATATTTGAAGTCTACGTGTATATGAAATTATTTATGTAATTTTGTATATGGATATGTATGTGTGTGTGTGTATATGTGTGTGTATTATATATATATATATATATATATATATATATATATAGAAATATTTTGTATTTTGATTTATTTATGTATATCAAAATAAATATCAAAAGTTAGAATAAAATTTTATTTTATATCAAAATACACTTAGAATGAAATTATATATACATCTATGTATACATAAATAAATCAAAATACAACCTCAACCTGCTCACGTTTGAATTGAAATAAGCTGTTCTACCATTACTTTACCTAATAAAAAAAAAAACAGATTTACAAAAAAAATATATATATATATATATATATATAAAATTTTATTCTAACTTTTGATATTTATATATATATATATATATATATATCTATATATAGATATATATATATATTTTTTTTTTTTTTGTAAATCTGTTTTTTTTTATTAGGTAAAGTAATGGTAGAACAGCTTATTTCAATTCAAACGTGAGCAGGTTGAGGTCACGCACAACCTGTATGTATCTGCCATTTTATAATCATATGTGTATCAAGTATAACATTCAGTAGTGATAACAAATCAATCGTCATCTTACATCAAGGCAGTGTAAACAACCATAACTCGTTATTTGGTAATTAACTTGTACGTGGTTCCCACCATTTCCCCTCGAGATATATGTATGTAGCTTGGGTGGCCAGCCACAAGCTCTCCATGTCGTGTTTTGTGGGTTATCATTAGGTACATGGATACCTGTGAGGGCTGACATTGTACGCGTAATGAGTGTGGTAGCTAGGTGTTGTTTCAGTTACCCATAATCTTGTTGGTCTCATGTTTCAGTGCTGTGACTGTGGTATGGATTCAGAGTTTCCTCGTCTGAGCCACCTTAGCATTCCTTGTTCCATGTATCTGTGTATGGTTCTACTTTATCTGGCGGTGTATCTGTGAATTGTAATTAAGGTGTTGGTTTTTCTTTTGACATGTTACTGTAGTGTGGTCGTCTTTGAGTTAGCTATGTGTATGTGTAGGTGGTAAAGGGAGTGAATTGTAAGCACTAGAGCCGTGATAGAGAAGAAGAAAGAAAAGAGCGAGAGTTAGGGAGTCTTGATATGAGTAAAGGTATGGGTTCCGCCCCGAGGGTCCGAATTCTCTCCCGCGAGCCCTACCGATTCCTGGATACAAATGCGAACCATGGACGCCACAGCTCTGCGTGTCTATCCCCCCTGCCCAGCAGAGATGCTTGCATCGCCTCCGCCCCCTGAATGCTCTCCACTCTACGAATCCACTCCTCCGTGCCTGGGATCTCTGTCCTTTTCCAGTAAATAGGAATCAGAGCTCTAGCTGCATTGAGTAGATGGCATAGGATCGACTTTTTATATCCTGTGATTGACATTTGTGAGATATGCAGGAGTGCCAGAGTCGCTGTCCATGTGGGTATTTCTCCCAGGACTTCAGTTATGTTTTGTCGTATCAGTTCCCAGTATGGAGCAAGGGAGTTGCACTCCCACCAGATGTGTATCATCGTGCCCCTCTCCACCTGGCACCTCCAACATATTGGAGGTGTTGACGGGAAGATCTTATGAAGGAGGGTTCGATACCACAGTGCGATAATTTTATAGTTGGTTTCCTGGTAGAGTGAGCTGATGGAGCTCTTGTGTTGCCAGAGTAAGGCGTTCTCCCATTGCAAGGATGTAAAGGTAGTTTTGAGCATAGTCTCCCATTGCCTGCGAAAGGTATTATTTTCTGTGAGGTGTCCGACTAAGAGGTCTTAGTAAAGCGTGGATATTGCCTTCCCCACAGGGGTGCCCTTTTCACACAGTGTCTTGAACCACGATAGGGCTCTATGTAGGCGGTCTTTATCGTGCATGCTTTTGTAAAAGTGTTTCACTTGCATATATCGGAATGCTGTTAGAGGGGTCCGGGGCGTGTCCCCTAATAAGGAGTCCAAGGTCCGTATATCGCCGTTCTGTAGTATCTTGGTGATGGGAACATATTCGCATCCCCCCCCTATTGCGTCATTATAAGTGATAGACAGCAGAGGGCTCGGTGTGGGTTAGATGTGCACCTGCTCCCTCATGCGTCTCCAGCTGGTGAGCGTTTGTGCCACAATTCCCTCCTTTCCCCCTTCTAAGTTCGCATTTGTATGTTTCCCCCATACCGCAGTCTGTAGGTGTGCCCCCTGTCCTTCTTGTGCCAGGGTTACCCGTTGTTTTCACTGCTGCAGGTTTGCGTGCCATTCTAGGATGCGTTGGAGGACAGTGGCTTGGTGGTATCATTTAAAATCAGTTAATGCCAGGCCTCCTCTATGCCGTGGCCTCCTCTATGCATAGGAGTTCATGACGGAGACTCGAACGTTCACCCCTCCAAACGTAGCGGATGACTGCTGATTTCAATGTGGCAAAGAAGGATGAAGGTATTGCCATCGGGGTCGTCTGGAACTGATATAGGAGTCTGGGTAGGATGTTCATTTTCAGAACTGCAATTCGTCCATGCCAGGAGACATGTGGATATGCCCATTTATTTAAGTCCGCCAGTATTGTCTTCAGTAGCGGTGCGAAGTTTTGTGAGTACAGGTCATTCGGGTCCTTCGTTATCCATATCCCGAGGTATTTCATTTTACATGAGCACCATCGGAAGGGGAACAGAGAGTCCAGTGTTGCGTATTCTTCCTCCGGGAGGGTGACATTTAGCACTTCACATTTGTATAGGTTAAGTTTGAAACCCGCCATCTTGCCAAATTGTTCCGTTACCGCCAAGATGTTGGGCATCGTAATTCTGGGATTGGTAACAAAGAACATGAGGTCACCCGCGTATGCGGCCACTTTATGTTCCGTTCCCTGCCAGGAGAAACTCAGAATGTCTGGGTGTTGTCTAATCATCTGTAGCAGTGTTTCCAGAGATAAGGCAAACAGCAGTGGTGATAGTGGGCAGCCCTGCCTCGTGCCGTTGGAAATCTCACACTGTGCAGTGAGTGCTCCGTTTACCCTCACCGCAGCCTGTGGTTTATTATAGAGTGTGCGGATCCACGTGAGGAGTCTGGGTCCCATCCCCATGTGGCCTAGAGTAGCGAGCCTGTAAGGCCATTTCACCCGGTCAAAGGCCTTTTCGGCGTCCGTGGAGAGTAAGAAGTTGTTCTCGCTCTGTGTTGTATTGCAAAAAGCCGCAGGGTACTATTTCGTGCTTCTCGACCGGGTATAAACCCTGTTTGGTCCGCATGAATCAGTGATGGGAGGGCCCTTTGGAGCCTTGTCACCAGAACTTTAGTGAACAGTTTAGTGTCCACATTTAGCAAGGATATCGGGCGGTAGCTGCCGCATGCCATTGGGTCTTTTCCCGGGTTTCGGCAGTACAGTTATTATGGCTGCCAGGGATTCCCTTCCAAACGCTTCCCCTTCGGCCACTGCATTAACAGCTTTCGTCAGCCATGGCAACAGGATTGATGAGAAGGTTTTATAATATCCTGATGAGAGGTCATCTGGGCCTGGGGCTTTTCCCGCTTTAGTAGATTTCAGGGCTGCATGAATGTCCTCCGCTGTGATCATGGCGTCCAACTCCTCTGCTGCGTCTGGGTGTATTGCTTTCGTAACGGTATCTAAGTATTCCTGCGTTCTGCTAAGTTCGGCGTCACTGTCCTCCCGTCTGTCTCGATCCTGTAGGTTGTATAGCGATTGGTAGTAGCGCCCGAATTCTTCAGCTATTTGGTCCGGAAATGCAGTCGCGGCGCCCTTCGGGCGCACCCTTCGGGCGCCGCGACTGCATTTCCGGACCAAATAGCTGAAGAATTCGTGCGAGGGGCATTGCCTTTCAAGAGCCGTGCTTGGTATCTGCCACTTTTGTTGGCTGTCTGGCGGTCTCCCTGTTCCTTTGGGGGTGTCCAGAGACGCAGTCATGGCCTCTCGCTGGATCATGACAGCCCCGGTATCAATCAGCCGGTCAGGCAGTCCGAGTCCCGCCTTTAATTCCATGACCCAATTCCCAGAATCTGGCAGCTGTTCCAGGTAGTTAGTGCGCCCAGGCCTTGTAGCAGTAGTCTTTGCCAGCAGATCCAGTTCTACGGCTCCCGAACAATCCTTCAAAGTCTTTGTAGCAATACCAGATGTCTTTGAAATATTTAATTCTGCTACGCCAATGTCACCTACTTTGTAATTTTCGCCTTGGTCGGGCTTAGGTGCGGACGTGCCTATCTTATCACCACAGCTTGGTTCTGTAACTGTCGCTCTCTCTTGGCTTAGATCAGAAGCGGCTACTAATAAAAGGGAATCATGACATGTCACACATGTCATGTATCCTTCAGGGGTTAAAGGGTATTTTACCATACAATCAGCATTTCTGACCCCTACTGGTCAACAGCAAAACTGTCTTCACATGTCATATACAATTACCAGCCAATATAAATTACACATAAGATTGTTTTAAACATAACCATAAACCATAAATTAAACTACAACACGGGCTCAACTTCAGGTTTAATTCACAATAATTTACAGTTCACATCAAGACTAACAGTGGTTCTATCAACACTGCCACCTACAGGTCTGTCAAGTACATTGACAATTTTCATGGGGTTTTACAAACACCAAAACACTGACCCCTATAGGTCAACAGACAAACAACATTTCACATACCAATCAGTATCAACTACACTGCCACCTATAGGGCACTCGGCAGATCTCCAGTGCACTTGCATTTTGCAACACCATGTTCACTGACCATTCAATAAGGCATACAACAATTCACATTGCAAGCAGTATCTGTTATAAATACACATATTATTACACAGTAGCACACGCATCTGTATATACGTAACTGGTAATATGGTTCACATACATACGGCACTTAATGTGTTAAGATTGATACATATTTAACCAGTATGGATATGATGTTTAATATTTACATATCACGGCACTTTACTTTCACATATACTGTATGTTTTAAGATAAGCTTGATCTATGCCATATTTCCTTATGCCATACGATTTTATCCATTCAGGTTACAGTTACTACTAAAAAACCTATACGGATTGTCAGGTTCAATACCATACTACTAGGTACGTACACCTGCTCACGTAGTTATCCATCTCTTACCTTCCCTGGATAGTAATAGTGTACTGGCAATTAGGGTTCTAGGGCCCAATAGGTATTACCCCCTTTTTTCTCTGCATTATGCTTCGGTTAGTGGTCCACAAGGCCAACACCCCGCCTCACACTCGGAGGCATACACCCCTCGGGCCACTCGTGAGTAGTGATGTCGCGAACCCGAAATTTTCGGTTCGCGAACGGCGAACGCGAACTTCCGCAAATGTTCGCGAACCGCCCGAAACGCCATTGACTTCAATGGGAGGCGAATTTTAAAACACACAGGGACTCTTTCTGGCCACAATAGGGATGGAAAAGTTGTTTCAAGGGGACTAACACCTGGACTGTGGCATGCCGGAGGGGGATCCATGGCAAAACTCCCATGGAAAATTACACAGTTGATACAGAGTCTGGTTTTAATCCATAAAGGGCAGAAATCACCTAACATTCCTAAATCACAATCAATATGGATTGACACCTGACATATGACATATTGACACCTTGACATATGGATTGACACCTGTCCTCAGAGCCCCTGATGCACACGGACACAGAGCAGAATAGGGACTGGTCCCCCTACATAGGGTCACTTGGCAGATATGGATTGACACCTGTCCTAAGGATCCCTGATACACACTGACACAGAGCAGAATAGGGACTGCCCCTACATCGGGTCACTTGTTGGCAGATATGGATTGACACCTGTCCTAAGGTTCCCCTGATACACACTGACACAGAGCAGAATAGGGACTGGTCCCCCTACATAGGGTCACTTGGCAGATATGGATTGACACCTGTCCTCAGAGACCATGATACACACTGACACAGAGCAGAATAGAGACTGTTACCCCATACATAGGGTCACTTGGCAGATATGGATTGACACCTGTCCTCAGAGAACATTATACACACTGACACAGAGCAGAATAGGGACTGTTCCCCCTACATCCAGTCACTTGGCAGATATGGATTGACACCTTGTTACAAACTGCTATTTGTAATGGGCCCTTTAAATGGCAAATTGCCCTGCTTCCCTGGGTTGTGGAGAAGCCTATTTGCCAGCCTCCTCCCGCATGACTATGGCCCCTGGGAGATTGTGAAAATGTATGCACTTTTATTTGGTGTGTATGGCCCTTTAAGACTGTCGGTGGGCATATTGGGGCTTATGGACTCTTTATGTGACTGGTGCTGGCCCTTTAAACACCTTTTTTGGGACATCAGGAAGATTGGGACACTGCCCCTTTAAGGCCGTGTCCCCAGACTTGTTGGGGACACTGCCCCTTTAAGACGGTGTCCCCTGTGTCCCCAGACCTGGTGCAAACCCTTTGTGCCTGCCTGGCTATTTCCCACTTGGTTCAGTAAATGGGGCTTACTGAACCAAGTACCACACAGGCAGACCACCCAGAAGTGGAAGTGTGCAGGCAATTTACCTCCCAGAAGCTGCGGTTAACCGCAGCTTAATTGACAATGCTGGAGGTCTTTGTTCGTTTGCCGAACACGTGGCGGCGGCCATCTTTGATCATTCGACGAGGTCAGCGGTATGTGTAGCCAAATTCATGGAACTAAAATCGGCTACACATTTCCGCAATCACCGCTGAGCTCTCTCTCCCTACTGGTTTTTTGTTGTAGAGACTAAGTCCCATTCGGCATGGGACTTAGTCTTTTTCAGCCTGAAATACCGACCTCACAGCCCAAATCTATGGAACTGTTTTGGGCAGGAAAATGTGCTTGCGGTCGGTCATAAAGGGACCTCCAGCTAACTTTTTAACCCCTGGATGGATTTGGCTGATTTTTGGTTATGTTTTATGTTTTAAGTGTGCTGATTCCAAATATGTAATTATGAAGATGGGATGTGTAGTTTTAAAGTTACAGGGTATGGCTAAAAACTGTATTTTTACTGCCTGTGTTTAATTATGTTAATCTCTTCCCAAACATCATTTCGTTCAAAGTGGAGAGAATGTTAAAAAAATATATTTTTGTTTGGAGTGTGAGAAATGCTTTTCAGCCACTTCTAATCTTAAGCATCATTTGAGGAGCCATACAGGAGAGAAACCGTATTTGTGGTGTGTTTAGTATTTTTCTGATCAGTTTAATACCTTCCGCGTCTCCTATCAGTGGACGTGTATATGGCAGCCATTTTAGGAACCGTACACCTGGGACCCGAGCAAGGTCACCTCGTTCAACAGGCTTGCAGCGTATCCTCCAGGTAGAAGAGCCTGAACCCTTACCGGCTGCACGTGTCTTACCTGTACATGGAAAGCTGCTCTGGTTCCTTGATGAGCCAGCTGCCCGTGAGTTACCATGTCCCGTGGAGAAGCACTCTGTCCTGTAAACCCTCACCAAAAAAAAGGAGTGGTGTGTTTAGTATTGTTCTGATCAGTTTAATACCTTCCGCGTCTCCTATCAGTGGACGTGTATATGGCAGCCATTTTGTCAGATTCAAGTTCTTGTGCCCCACAGTTCAAAATAACATTCAAATGACAATTCATGACAGATCACACAAGTGAATAGCCCTGCCAACGTCTTCTCAGAATGTTTTCGTTTTCTATGAAGAAATAGAAATGCAAGAGCAGAATAGAGACTGTTCAGTTTAATACCTTCAGCGTCTCCTATCAGTGGACGTGTACACGGCATTGATTTTTATCTAAGCCGTAAACTTTTGCATAGCGAAGTAGATTCACTGCCATTTAAAAGGAGTGCATGGCGGTGGTGTGGGCCCTCAAAAAGCTGCAACCTACTTGTATGGACAACCGTTTACCTTACTCACAGATCACAACAAATTTGGGGCACTGCGCGTGCAATCTAATGTGCCACCAGATAGGAGTGGTGTGTTTAGTACTATTGTTATCGGTTTAATCACTGTTACGTCCCCTATCCGTTGATGTGGAGCAAGACGCAGCAGCAGAAGAGGACTCAGCCGAGGAGGTTATGGAAGAGGATGGAGTAGGAGGGAGTAGAGGAGGTGGCAGCGTACTGGCAGAGTACACGCTGTAGGGCTGACACACCTGCTTGAAGATAATTAACTGCTATTCAATCTATAACAGTGAAAAAAGTTTTTTGTTTTTAAATCCAAGCTATTGTGACACCAGTGAGTGAGTGGTGGCACTGGGCACAGTATCCACTGTGAGCCTGACACACCCACTTTGAGACAACTAACTGCTATTCAATCTATAATTGATGTTTGTTTCACAGGCAGAAAGTGCCCTAAAACATGGAGGCTTGAACCCTAGTTGGTGGCGGAAATCCCTTTGCCCTGTCTGGCTGTAAAGAGTGTGCTGAACATTCTGCGAAATAGGTGTTCATCGGTCTCCACTGCATCAGGTAGGCCTCGAACTTTAATGTTCTTCCAGTGCCTTTTATCTTCCAGCACTGCCATACTGTCTTGGTGTTCTTTTTGGACCTTTTGCAGGGCCAGGAGTTGCTGCACCACTGTCCCAAGTCGGGTCTCCTGTGCGGCAGTGTTAAGCTCTGTGTTTTGCAGTCGGGCTGATACACTGCTAATCTCTTCACAGAACTTGCCGATGTCAGCTGCAATATTGCGGCGCAGCTCACCAAGCATGTCCCTCAGTGTCTCCTCCGTGATCGGATGCTTTGCAGGTGAGTGGGTCAGTCTGCTCATAGCCCATTCACCTTAGTCACCCTCTTCAGACACAGACGCCTCACTGGACGAGTTGTATCGGCTCTCCATCTGCGGCGCCATTGCAGGCCTTTGGCAGTGTTGAGGCCTCCTCAGGAGATCACCAATATCTGCGGTGGTAGGGGGTCTGTCCGGCTTAGGCTTTTTGCTATGTCGCCCCATGCCCTCTTGATAACAGGCTGCCTCCAAGGGTGCTTTCAGGGTAGTTAAGCATTTTTTTGATCGGAGATCAAGGCATGTGCTTCCTCTCAGTATGGCTGCTTGCTCCGCCCCCCCACCCCAGAATGATTTTACGCCTGACATCCAAGAGTTTACTGGTAGTCCTGGAATTCAGTTGGACTTGGCTAACTACAGTGCACTGGATTTCATGCAGCAACTTGGGGGATGATATTTTAGGGGATATCGTCACCCAGACCAACATTTATGCTGCACAGTACCTGACACTTAATGATCAGATTCTCATCACCAGGAAAGGGAGTTGGTACCCCATCAGTGTGACAGAATAAAAAAAAATTGGGGCACTAATTATGCTAATGGCTGTGGCGAAACCGACCTCGCCACGTGTCCTTGGAGGGGGCTGCTTGCCCGCCTCTTGCCTTTGGACTATGGACCAGACTTTATGTGAATGTGTTAACCCAGATAGCTATGCCATGGAGCCCATTCGTGTAGTTAAAGACTTCGGCTCCATGGCAATTGAACTGTGTGAATAGGATCTGAACGCTATTCGATAGTTTTGTGTGCTCAGATCCCAGCTATCTGGGGATATGTGAAATGTCTGTGTGTTATGTGTAAAAGGTGACTTTATGTATTTTAAAGTGTTTTATGTCTTTTTGCAACCATGTGCTCAATGGAGTCTGCCTCTATCCCTAGATAATTGGATTACTTCCCCCATTGTCTCCAGGATAGAGGGCTGTAAAACCTGTTTGAGCCAGATAGCCATGTGCCAGCCAGGGCCCAAAAGATACTTTTACTAACTTTTGAACCCCTGGTCAGATTCATGCCATTTTTTAATATGTTGTTCACCTGAATGGATTGATTGTGAATATGTAATTTTATGTGAATGTGATGTATGGTTTTAGAGTTATGAAAGTTGGGTAGAAAGTATGTTTTAACTGTATGTGTAATTGAGTTTCATCTCAGGATAAGGGGAGGGAATATGTGGGATGTAACTGATATGTGATTGGTTGTTTTATACCTCCCTGTGGGCGGTCCTGTATGTGAAAGGCTGTAATAAAAACCAGGCTGGGTGTGTCAGCACAAGAGTTCCTGCTTAACCCTCAAAGTGAAGTGTCGTCTCATTATTGGGGAAGGGATTTATTGGATGCTGTTCCAGTTTGACTGCTAGGAGAGAAAACCTATTCGTATGGTTCCTATTCAACTGTCTACAGCATTCATATGCTTGGGAGAATTTATTTATTTGTTTCTCCGGTTTGGTGATTGTGGTGTCTGCCAGAGTGCTTGGAGTCCTCAGGAAGCGCTAGGAGCATCCTTCAACGGAGGTAGCCAGTCGGGGTGCCAGGCGATCCGTTACAATGGCCATTATTAAAAAAAAAACAACAAAAAAAAAAACTGTATTAGGATGTACTGGCCCAAAACTCCTGTATGCAGCACCCCTATTTACTCCCAGACCATGAATAGGTCCAGATACAAAGCAATACTTTGCTTTTAACCTTTAGTACAATAACCTCTCCCCCTAATTTACCACTTCAACAGACAATTTTGCTCAATTTACACCCCACAAAAAATATTTGTGTAGATGAGTCTTTGATGAAATACAAGGGCAGACTGGGGTTTAAAGGGAAACTCCAGTGCCAGGAAAACAATCCGTGTTCCTGGCACTGCAGGTCCCCTCTCGCTCCCACCCCCCAATCCCCTTAGCTTCAGTACACCCCCCAATCCCCGGTTGCTGAAGGGGTGAAAACCCCTTCAGTAACTTACCAGATTCAGCGACATGTCCCACATCGCTGCTTCTTCCTCCGCCGCCACTCCTCCTCTGTATTAAGTCGGCCGGTGGGCGAGAATGCATGTCAGACTGCCGGCCAATCATGCAAGCTGGTCAACTAAGGGCATACTATGCAGAAAGCACCCTGAGTATGGCATATATGTGTCTAATGATGCGCTCGCTCAGTGCTCTCTAAGGACTGTCCCCTAGCACTAACTGGTCCACTTGTCTCCTTACCTTGTTACTAGGAGGCTGAAGCTCCTTGTGTGGGACAGAGAAAATCTGTATGTAGTGAGTGTAGAAGAATGGGAACATGTCACAGTGTTGGAGAGACCAAAGTCAGCATTACCTTACCTAATTTCATTGTCAGCCAGTCCACACAAGCTTTGTTCTCATACATCCCTCTTAGGTTTCCATACTTAAGTAACAGTATGTAAAACGTAGTTAGGGTTGCCTCCTTTCTTGGAAAAACATAACGGCCTTGCTAATTTGCTTAATTAATTATGTATGGGTGATATCACATGATGCAAATCACAAGGAGTGACATAAGAAATAATGCTGTAAAATCACCAAAAAGCTACTTACAGTTTGATTCTGCTGTATAGATCGTTTGCTCCCAGTGTCTCCCTGTCCCCCAGTGTCTCAAGTCTCCCACTGTCTCAGTGTCCCTGTGTATCAGTGTCCCCATAGTCTCCCAGTGCCCTATGTCTCCCAGTTTCCCCTAGTCTCCCAGTGTCCCCATGTCCCAGTGTCCCCTAGTGTCATGTCCCCATGTCTTCCTGTGTCCCCAAGTGTCTCAGTGTTCCATGTCTCCCAGTGTCCCTAGTGTCTGTGTCCCAGTCACTTGAGGAGACTGGGAGACATGGGGACACAGGCACCAGGGACACTGGGATACATGGGGACACCGAGACACTAGGGACACTGGCTGGGACACATGGGGCACTAGGAGACTAGACAACACTTGAAGACACCAGGGACACTGAGACACCAGGGACACTGAGACACTAGGGACACTGGCTGGGAGACATGGAGTGTCTCAGTGTCCCCATATCTCCCGGTGTCCCCAAGTGTCTGTGTTCCCAAGTGTCTGTCATAATACCCATTGTAAAGCGCTACAGATTTTGTTGGCGCTATATAAATATAATAATAATGTCTCCCAATGTCCCTTAGTGTCTCAGTGTCCCCATATCTCCCAGTGCCCCCATGTCTCCTTGCAGCCTTTCCCCCCCATCCCTCACTTACCTGAGCTGTAGGCTGTCTCTGCAGGCTGGGAGTTGCTGTCTGGACTCTCTGTAGCTGCTCCCCTGTGGATCAGTGAGTAGAGATAGGCAGGGAGTTATATGCTGGAACTTCCTATCCCTGCCTCTCTCCACACAAAGCGACCCCTACTGGCCAGTGCTGGTATTGCATCATAATCTCTGTTTATACTGAGAAAAATACCAGCACTCGTATTGCCAGTATGACTACAAAATTGGCACCAGCCAGGCAGTCTCAAATACAAGGCAGATGCAAACCTTAAGAGTAGTGTAAAAAATTTTTTTTACATGTTATTTTAAATCAGTGGGCATGGGCCTGGAGCTGCAGCTCCATTAGCCCCTATGTTAATCCAGCCCTGATTGCAATGCTTCACATAAAACCCAGTGGGATATCTATATTACAGTACTTATTGCACCACTAATCACTCAGGCCCTTGGGAACATAGCGCAGCTAAGCAGACAAGGGAACATGTATGAGTGTAGGGATAGATGCTTGTGATTTGTTGTATGTGTATATGGGAGTGGTTATGTGTTTGGGAGTGGTGTAGGGATCATCTTACCTCAGTACCTCTTGGGAGACGGGCCAGCAAACAATTTGGGGAGACTCTGTGCTCCTGTTTGTCCTGGGCCTGTTGATTTTACCTGCTTGAGGATGGATGTGGAAGGAATCCTGTCTGCCCTCAGAGCTGCAGCTGCCCTGGATGATGGCAGGCACCTTTCTGAGCAATTGGCCCAGCAAACATCTTACCCTGACTCTGTGCTCCTGTTTGTCCTGGGCCTGTTGATTTTACCTGCTTGAGGATGGATGTGGAAGGAATCCTGTCTGCCCTCAGAGCTGCAGCTGCCCTGGATGATGGCAGGCACCTTTCTGAGCAATTGGCTCCCCTCCAGCCTGGTTTGGCTGCCGGTGTGGGTGTGTGTGTCCCCCACCCCCCGCGACCAGGCCTGTGCTGGGGCCTGGATGTGGCCACAGCCCATGTAGGTCGCACGGGCCGGCGCTCCCACCTACCTGCTCCCTGTATTCGGATACAGCGCCTCGCTGGACGTGGTGAGTGGGGCCACATGGGGCATGGCTGTGCCGCTGTTGGGGGGGTGGCCCTCTGGGTACAAGGGACGGCCGGGGGGTGCCCCTCTCCTCCCCCTGCATCTGTCCACCGTTTCCCCCTCTTGTCCCCTCCTGGTCCTCTCTTGGGGGGGGCTTCCTCTGGCTCCATCTCCTCCTTTTTCCTCCCCCCCCCCCTTTTTAGCCCCCTCTCTCTCCATTCTGCCCCCTTCCTCCTGTTCCCTCTGTGTCCCTTCTGGTGCCCTCTCTTCCTGTTTTGGGCTCCCCCCTTCCATCTTGCTCCCTTTCTGGCCCCCTCTCTCTCCTGCCTTCTCCTGTCCTCCCTGCTGGTCACTCTGTCCCCCCTCTCTCCGATAATAGGCGCGATAATAGGCACCATTGGGGTCCCTGCGGCGAAGTGCGACTCTGGGCGTTTTCGACGTGGCGGGGGTTTTTCACCTGTCGCAGGAAATTAGGGTTAACATTGGGAAGGGAGAATTTGTTAAGATCCTCGACTGTGGGAGAAGGACGACGATGAATCGGAGATGGAGAAAGAACAATCTGTTACTGGAGGGTCCTCAGGACTTTCGGTAATTGGATTTGCACGTTTTAATCTGGCTAGTGTCATTGGGGAAAAGGCACCTCACAAGTGCTCTGCTACCAGGACACCATTTGGAATGCTTTTCGTACCTATGGTGGAAGTGTGACAAGCAATTTCGTCAACGTTTGGCGGTGCCCCCATCAATTTTCTGGGCCAGATGGACGTGGCATCTGGCTCCCCATTATGACCCGTGCTGCAGCTGGGTGGTTTCTCATCCTTTCTTGGGGAGGCCAGTGGGGGCGGATCATATGCCTCTCCGGCAGCGCGGCCAAGGTCAGGCTGTTGTTGCACATTTAATGACAGTTGTTGTACATTTAATGACAGTTGTTGTATATGGTGTGGCGATATTTATGGGATAATAATAGTAAACAGTGAGAATTGCCCACTAATTCAATTCTCAGATCCCAAAGATCGTTATCGTGTTAAGTGGAAAGTATTTCATATAAATTATATCACAATGTTATAAAAATAGATTTTATTTTATAATAACAATTAATTAACAAATAATATTATGTAACATGCGTGACAATAATCAATGAATATCCAGTATAAAATGGTATGCAATACAAAGGAATGGGTATACACGTTTCAATGGCTAAACAGCATTTTCTGTCAAGACTTACACGATTTATGACTATCTTTCACAGAGAGAAAGCAAAGCTTTTCACAGCGAAGGGCCATAAAACCCTGGCTAACAGTTAGAATAACCCTTTCAATGCTGGCTAGATCCTCCTAGGTAATTAAGATCTATTCTTATGTAATTTCAAATAAAATAACATTTAAACCAGTTCATTAGTCATTTCCTGGAACCATCCAATAAGAGAATCTACCATGTTATAAGCAGATTTTAATTTGTCTAAAAGATATCTTATCTTATATTAGAGCAAATCAATACACCTGGATAAAAACAGCGGTATGCTAACATGTGATACTATCAAATCAATATATAATTATTCTTAATTCCACCTGCAGAATGGAATGTTTATAACTATATATTCTTTAGTTAACTAAGATTTCTAAATATGGAGATCTGACCGTGATTTATCCAGTCATATATCATGCTATTAGTAAAATTTAATTAATTTAAATTAATTAAATGAAACCAGTATAATTACCAGTTGAGTAGATATTTCATCCGATTGGTAGTCTCAGGAACTTGTTTGGATGTCTCTCTGCATGGAGGTGTGTAGGAATTTCTGAGTGTCCTAGAGTGTCATTGCTCCCCACCGCTCACTTCTTTGCTTTCTTTGCATACCCTTCCATTCCTTGTCTACCTCCTCCTTCTCCTTTGTCTTAACTTTTTAAAGGGAAAATTCACTAGTTGGTAAACCAATAGCAACACTGGGGGTGTGGTTATCTTCCAGATCGCAATTTAGTTATTTGATCTATAGAGGGCAGTCTTGTCCCACTAAACATACCTATCCAGGAAAGAGTTAACTTTTCTTGGTGGCTATTTTGACGTCATTTTGGCTTTATCTTTATAGTGGCCATAACTTACGTTTTCTTTCACTTCAAAGGGTTTTCTCTTAGTTTTGTCCAGACTTAGTGTCCGCAATTCCTGCTATAATTTCTAAAATGGCAGTTCATGAACTATGTTTCACCTTTTCCGTACAATGGTACCTAACACATATAGAAAGTAAAATTTTATTATTTAATCTTCTCTGTCACAAATGTCTGGGTTTAGAATTGATCTAT